GTCAGGGCCGAGTAGGTATAGCCGTGTAGTAAGATAATACATAGCAACTTTCAACTGAACGATACGCACGTTTCACCGGAAAGTTCTGGCCACAATCTTCAGGGTGCTAGACACCAAGTTGACAATATCAACAGCGGACCATCCGCAGACCGATGGTCAAACATAGCGCGTGAATCGCGTCGCTGAAGGTGTCCTTCGCAGCGTCTGTGCTGAGCTGCTGAGGCGCTGGAGCGCTATGCTACCACAATTTGGATTTCACCTTGAACATTGCAGTGCATTCATCTACCGACTGCACGTCGTTCTACGTGAACGGGCTTGTTCATTCACGCGTCCTGCTGAAGCTGTTTATTCTAGAAACTGGGCTTGATGGAGGAGGAAAAGTTGAGCCGCTATATGAAGTCAGCCGCTTCGCCGTTTGTAAAGAACTTCATGTCTACCAGACTAATTGTCTTTTAACGTGTTCGCGATGCGATGGCTGAAAGCCGAGACATAAAATATAATATGCAGGTAAAAGAGGCATAGGCAATGTTAAAATCTTTGAGGTCGGAGACCTGGTTTCGTTAAATGCTAAATATCTTCCTACACCATGCAGTATCTGCTGTCTTTAAGACAAAACTCTGTCCACGGTTTATTGGACATTTTAAGGTCGTGGTCAAGCGAGGCCTTACCAATACGCTGAAACTTCCGAGAACGATACGTACCCACCCGGCGTTTTATGTGCGCTAGCTTAAGCCGTACCAGGATCTGGCGCAAGTGAACGCGAAAGCGTTGGCGCCGGGGCGGCACCCGAAGGCGCTCAATCTCCCAGAAGCTAAACAGAAACTAATTTTCAGCTCGGAGTGCAACAAATTCTGTTTTAAACGGCGCAAGAGCGCGTTAAGCCTCAACGTGAGGCAGTCGGTGCAAGAAGTGTTAAAGGCTCGCGAGGTCTTCCGCACAGTGGTAAGCGGCCTCAGCATGCTACTCGGCGGAATGCAGATGATGACGGACTTTGTCCTCAAGAGCTCGAAAAGCGTCGCGAGTCACCGAACGGCGATCGACCAAGTCGCCATCGTCATCCGCCGACTCTTCTCGATGAGAATGGTGGCGTCCACTATCACGTGGAATATCTTGTTTGTCAAAGTCGTCGACAGGGTCACATTCAGCACCTTGTGGGAGTTTGAGGTGCCACTACGGCAAGTCTGCCAGATGTCAAGGACGCTTTTGATCAGAGTTATCATGACGCTCCCCATCGTCACACACCTCGCGCATCTCGGTAGTAGCCAGCAGAGCCAAAAGCCATGAGCTGAGCTCAAGCTATGACCCTGAGCTGCTGTGGGCGTAGACTTACCCGTTTGAGAAACTTGCGGGAGCGTGATGAATTATTTCAAATGTCGCAGGGCGACAGCACGTAGAATGTCGGCGTTGCACCTTGAATTTAGCAAACTCAAACCGAAGATAGCGCTCCACGCGCACGTCCACCTCATTTTGGCTCCGCTGTAAGGTTGACAGCAAGTAAAGTGTCCGATGCCGCTGCACCTATCGCTCAAAAAAATTTTCATCATCTGCAGCGGTTTCACTGGGGCGAGCACCATTGGAATAGTCCGTATTGCGGGTCCATCGCAGATCATATCCATCGCTTGAGATACCAAAAAACGAGCTCAGAGAGCAATTCGATGTGACCGAGGGTCCAACCACGTAGACGCCCAACGACAGCTTAATTGCGTTCATCTAATCAGTAGCCGGATCCGCCAAGCGGAAGACGTGTTCCACTCAAGGGCCTTAGATTGCCCGTGGGTGTGGGCGCAAAGCTGCCTGGTGGGCAGTCCAGCTGCTGCTCCTGTGCCTCGTCGAGGCGATTGGTACTTACACGACTTCCGCCGGAAGTCGAGAGGTCAAGAAACGGACAAGATGTCTCACGTCTCGCCGCTGGCAAACCTCGCCCTCCTCTTCTTCCCATCATTGGAAAGAATTATCCGACTTGTAGTCAACTTCCTCCAAAGTCTGGAAGGGGTAGGCTGTCACCCGTGACAGACGTGGTGCGCGGCGCTCATTTGCCGAGGGCCTGGGATGTGGTTCCCTCGAAGCCGCGGCGTGTTGTCCAATGTTGCACCACGTGCTGGAGACGAAGAAGGGCTCGGCCCGAGCGCTCTCGGAACCAGCAAGATGGGTGTTTGTTGTGTCAAAGACATAGGGCTCATTGAGCAAAAAAAGCTTGAAAACGGTTCTGGGGACGTACAGATGTCTTAGACACGCGATCCTCGTGCGAGGCAACAGTTTACTGTAAATTG